CTTAGAATTAACCCTGATGGCTGGTCTTAGGAAACAGCTAGTGAAAAAAAAAGAAATAGCCCAAAGTCGGCAGGCAGTTGCAGACTAGAATTAATACATCTAAGAACAAGAGCTTAGCATTTTGGTGAGTTTCATGATTTTGGGGAGATTTAGAACTTGCAGTTGCTGAATCATAGTGCTGAGTTGTTTGTCCAGCATATTTCCAATCTTCCAACCATATCTAAGTAAGGTAAGTATTTTAAAATGTCACATACTGGATGATAAAAATACTTGCTCTGTGTGTGTATATGTGTCTGTGTATGTAAGGAGAGTGTCAAAATGATTTTGAAGGAAATTTATTGAGGTTTCTGATTCACTGAGATCAGTGAAGCTTCAGGGTCTAGTTTCTGTGTAATATCTACACTAGAAATTACCCGTGTATCTGAGTGTTTGGATTCACACGCAGACCCGAGTCAGGGCCACTGCTGGGAAATGATACTCCCAGCGCGCACCAGGCACATCCAGAGCAATGCTTTCTTTAATGACTTCCTCAGTTTTTATTTCACAGACAAAAGCGTTTTTGCTTCAAGAGTATTAATTAGTGAAGTCCTTTTTTTTTAACCAAATCATTTTTTAATTTTTTTTCTGGTCTTTTTCCAATCCCAAATGAAACATCAGGAAAATATCAGGAAAAAGGAAACCAAATGCTGAGGTGACTTCAGATAAAAGAAAAAAATAACCTTATACTGTGTCCACATTGCTTCTATTTCCCCAAGTCCCTGATGTTGTAGTCTGCAGAGCCGAGTAAGCAGCGTGTGCCCAGCAGTGCCCTTGTTTGTTATCCCGGACCTGTGACCCTTTCCCAGCGCTTTGATAGCCCTTCCTGGTTCTACTGTGTTCAGGTACCCAGTTTCCTGTAGTCTTTCCTCCCTGCTAGGCTCTATTTACTGCCCTTTTCCAGGTGCTGGTTTGCCCTCGTTCCCTTCACATGCATGCCTTTCTGTGTGTGCCTATTTCTGTTTTCCTTCCCTTCTGCCCCATTTCAGAGCCATTAATCCTGGAGTCGCAGCCTCTGCCAGTTGAATCAGCAGCCGGAGTCTGCAGGATCGTTCTGTGAGGGAAGGGGCTGCCAGTCAGAAACGCCATCCACTGCAGCAGACCACACTGGCTTTCATTCCCAGCTTCCTCAAGTCATCAGTATTTGCTGGCTTAAGCCCATTAATTAAAGAGATATTTCTTGTTCAGATATGGTTAGCTCTCTTGGCACTCTACTGCAGCTAAAGTTAAGATAATCATTAATATATTGATTTCCATGCTGTAAGGCCCCTTGGGTTTCCCCAGCTGGAACCTTCCAGTATAAAGGACAAACCAGAACTGGAAGTACAGGGTGGCTTGGCTTGCCCTGCCTGAGATGGGAGCTTGCCTTCACAACAGATTAAGAGATTCGTATTTTGTTGCCATTCTGCAACACCCTATAGGACAAATCTGTGCAGCACGGGCAGAGCTGATGCAGGTCACAGAGGTAGGGAGGTGGGATTCTTCTGATTCCTGTGTTTAGAGAGAAGCAATGCTGCTGAAGCTAAGCCAACATAAAATTCTCAGCGTGGGAGTGGTTTTCCACTGCTATTCGTGCCATGCAGACGTGAGGAAGGGAGAGAGGTTTGCTTCCAAAGATTTAAGACCTTTTCTCTTTTTCGCCCTGAGCAGGTGCCTTTCAGTAGTGGAAAAGGCTGTTAGCCGTTGGAAGATGTTTCACCAAAAAGAAGTAAAACCACTGTTTTCCACATTTTCCATGACTGTATGAGCTTGTCCCAGTTCTCCCCCAAAGTCAGAAGATGAATTTTCTGCTTGGCTATTGCTGTCTATGAATCTTTCTCTAACTTGTTCCAAATGTTTTTAAAGTCATTTTTCTAAACTGTATGATATCTGTGCTTATCTGGGTAGGGAATTCATCAGGCCAATTAATCAGTGATAATGCTCCCTACTTCATGGCTCCTGGTACCATCCTTTTAATGTTATCAAGGGTCAGCTTATCCCCACATGACAAGAAAAAAATCAGTGGAAGGAAATACACTCTCACACTCGGAGGCAATAGACCCTTTTAGTTTCAAAGTGATTTCTTGCTGAATTATTCTAATTGTTTATTTTTCTTAGTGTAGGTGAACAGCGTCATATGAGCCTTTTCACGGGATAAATGGGTTGGCCGGGCAGTTTCATCTTTTTGGGATCATGCTTTTCAACCTCAATTACATGAATTCCATGCTGAGAAAATGCATCAAGTTTTAAAATGCACAGCAACACACTGAAACCCACTTGTAAACTGTAACTCCAATATGCAGCCAAATATGAAACATTAATTTAGTGCCAGTTACTCGCAGTTCTTCTTATGCTTAGGAAGATACATATGTTCTAGATGTATTAAAAGCCCTAACCCCCACAACTCTACAGAAAATAGGCAATACTTTGGCAACAACCAAACCCGAAAAGGGAGTAAAAAGGACATTTCCTCATGTCTCTTACTTTGTGCCTGCCTGATAGGCTGCACTAGCATCAGAGGTCTATCCCCCTGTCTTCCCACACTTTTCTGTTCCACTAAGTTATAAAACAGCCAATGATCTGCTTGAGAATTGGAGTGTCAGCCAGATGTTTCCTGAGCAAAGACAACTTGTGTTTCCCTTTGTACATCATCTTCTGAGAGGCAGTGCTACTGCAGTTGCACATCTGACATCATTCACTGTGTTGACTTTGGGTTACTGAGAGTCTTGCTTTTGCTTTATCTTCCAACTCAAATACAGTAGCTTCACAGGGAGGTCACATGGAAAGAATGCCCTTGAATGACGAATGTACAATGTGGAGGAATAATTTATATTCCTTTTTTTTTTTTTCTCACAGCTCACGGCAAAGCCTTTTGCTGGCAGGTCATGCAGTTAATTGCTTTTGGGGTTTTGTCAGTTTGGTGAACAATCCTAAACATAACTAAGTCTTTCTGCGAATAACATGGAAAATGTTTTTGGAAGCTTTGGGCTTTTAAAACAGAAGTTTACATGACCACAGATCCAAGATTCTTTCTGATGGATGGAAAGTCTGATGAGAGGGCTTTGGATCGGATGCCTCTCCTGTACTGGAGGCTACAGCAGTTTTTACTAGAGGTAGTAGTTCATACTTGAACTGAATGAAATGACTTTCGTATTGCCATAAATATGCAATGTCAATGGAGACCTAAACTTAACAGAACATCTGATACTGTGTCCATGTCGCATCACTGGCTAGTTGCTTGCAAAGAGAAGAAATCAACTTTCCCTGGTTTATATTCAATCAAATGTGACCTTTAATTTGGAAAGTTGAGTACAGTAAAAAAAACTGCCTGTGCGGTAGCCTTTAATAAGGACACATAAGCAAGCCCCACACTATTTATTATACACAGTTAATGTGATCTCTCTGGGACATCCTGTTTTCAGCAAGATTGACAGTGGAGCAGTCTCGCCTCTTTAGAGTGCTCAGCCTAAACATCTCCGTGCACTGCAAACAAACACATACCGTGTCTTGACAACAGATTTCGAGAAGAATGACAAAAGGGGCAATCATAAATCAGTGAACACAAAATATTTTCACTCCTTGTTGTAGAAGGCTGCTTTTATTAAACACCAAACAGAATGGAAACTGTCATACATGTAGGTGATTCATCCCTGCGCATGTGCCCAGCTGCTACCTACACACTTGTAAACCTTGCAGCTCTTGAAGCTAAGGCAGATTTACACTGCAGAAATACATTAGTTTGCATCATGTTCCAGGAAGAGCCTTCCTCAATTTGTTCACTTTTCCAATTCTGTTATTTAAGGCTGAGATAGTCCATTTTGCTTTTCTGTCTTCTTTTGGAACAATCTACCTGGAGACCTTTTGCTCTAGGACATAATTTGTATCCATTCTGATGCTCCAAAATTACTTTGATTTCCTTTGAAGGCTTATGGTATTTGAATTCCTAAATACCTAGCACACTGCTAAAAATAGTTTCTGAATTATCCCCCCAAAATTTAGTTTTTGAAACACTGCCAAAAGTGAAATATCTCTAATTTAAAGTTTGATATACTCAGTTAAAAAACATCAAACTCTTGGTTTGATAGGACTGTGGTTCATTTTAAGAATACATATAAGCAAAAATATGAATCCAGTTGCAATAAGTGCATGGGTGCAAAATTGCAGAAAATTAAGGTAAATGGTGGTTCCAAATTTTCTGTAGCTGTTTGTGTTCTTCATCTGCTAGAAGAAATTTGCTTAACAGATTCAATCTAAAGTGGATTGAGAGTCATCTAACACCATAATACTCAATTCAGTAATGGTGCCCAAAGAGGCTTGGAAAGGTGGGACTGCAGGCAGCAGCGTCGTCAGTACACAGGGAATCCTTCTAAATTTACATGAATCCGGGTTATTCTTCTTGCTTTAAAAATGAAGCAGCACGTATCGTCAGCCTGCCACTTGTGACCTGCCCAGCACGGCCAGCCTTAAACACGAGGCATGAGAGCTGGAACAAAAGCGCCGCATTCTATGGATAGAATAATAATTTAATTTAAGCAAATATTGATACAGCATAAAAAGGCAGTCACTTCAACCACTTCTTCTTTAATAAGATACAGATATCCAGTAACAAGAAGCAGCAGGATGAGATGTAGCAAAGAGGCAAAATATTTTAAATCCCTGAGATTAAGGCCTTCACACCCTTGATTCAGTCTATTCCCCTCCCAAAGATGTATTTAGTAATACAGAGTTCCAGTTCCTATTGTAAACTTTAAGTAATTTACCTTCTATGTTTTTTGCAGGCAGATAATTCAAGAATGACCAGTCCAGGTAACAAAGTGTTTCCACCCAGACATTGCAGCTCCATTACTCTGTTTCAGTAGGAAGCCAACCTGCAAGGCCACAAAGGCAGAGCCAGGCATAACACACGCACACAATTCCCAGGACTAGTTGAGACATCATTTCCTAGCAAGGTCGTTGGCATCTCTTGTCCGGGGATGTGGAATTCCTCTAGCTGACATACAGACAAGCAGCATAAAGCTGGGGTCAAGTCAAAAATGAAGTACTTTGAAAAGAAGGCAGCTGACTTTGGTAATACCTTGTTGATCGATGGCTCTTCCATTCAAGATGGAAACAAAGGTCTAATAAAATTCAAGGCTTAAGCCAACTAAAACAAAATTATTTCCAGTGTTAGAGGTGTTATCCAGTGCACTGTATGATAGCCATTCCTGTAAGTGCTAAATATCAGTCCAAATAAATTGGATGTGGCCTATGTGCTCTTGGAATAATTACGGCAAGCATTTTGCATGTCCTTCAAGAAAGCAGGCACACCACTCTGTAAAAACAAAAGTAGAAGAGTCATTCATCTATAATGTAGTTAAGAAAGACTGTAGAATCCCTGTTATATAGTGCAAGGCTTTCAAACAAGCACAAGACATTCTAAGATCTGGTACAAAACAGTAGACTGTTCCTTTAATGCTCCCTTGAAGCTTTATTGAAGTTTGCCAATGTTAAGACTATTCACCTGAGATATGAAACACGGATTTGCGCTTTTTATGGCACAAATTTACCTACATGGGTGACGGAAAGTCTTAAAAACAGATTGCATAAGAGCTAGAGGGGTCAGTGCATCCATTTCTAAAAACAACCCAACATGCAGGGGGCGTATTTTGATACCCCGAGTAGATATTAGGGACAGATTAGCGAGAGACAATTGTACTGCCAGCCTTTACTCACCTTGGCAGCCCAGTTGACCAGCCACGATGGGAGCATGCCACCAGGATTATCAAAATAGTACATATAGACTAGGTATGAGAGAGAAGAGTTAACCACAAACCATTTTCCAGCTCTAGTTTCAGTACAAGCTCTAACACGGTATGACAGAAGCTGTCAGTGTGCATGACTGAAGCACCAAGTATAACAGTTGTCCTTGAATTCTATACAAGTCAACTTGTATTAAAGTGAAATGTCAATAAGTGTAGCATTATGCTGTAAGAATATAGCATAGTCATAGAAGTCTAGTATAGACGTATGGAGATGTATGAACTATAGAGTTAATTCTCAGTTAACTCTTGGGGAGCTGAAACAGTCCTAATTTAGTCTATTCCAAACCTTTTCACATAACCAGTCCTGTGAAATAAGGCTATGTTTAAAGGATTCGTCTCCCTCAGGAGTCATTTCCTCAACAAGCCTTTTCATCTACAAATTTGTCACACATATTACTTAAATCATTTGCTGAATTAAGCAGTTTCCAGTTACTATCAAACTTTACCCAACTGATTGGTAAGAAAACAAGTATTAGATGGGCTGCAGGGGAATGAAATGACCAGTAGCTCATCCTCAATTTCCTAGCCAGCTGTTAAGAATCATTCCTTACAATAGTAAAACAATGCACTGAATTTTTCAGCAAGTTTCATTCATTTTAAAATACTCCTAGTGGTCTGCATATCACTTTACAGGAACTGTATTTTGCTCAAACTTTTTAATCTCCCTCTTTGTGCATTTTGCAAATACGTTCCTTGCCTACACAACTTGTGGTTACGCTTTCTTGACCTCTTACCTTTAGATCCAGTTTTGCCATCACTTTCAATTGCGAGACTTTGTTTGTAGCTTTGAACTCTGATAATCCCGGGCTTTTCTGGGAACTGGGGAACAGACACACTCTGA